AAGTTTACTCCAGAAAAATATCATATCCCTAAATAGGTTTTTTCCTAAAACAAGAAATGTCTAAAATAAATATTTTCAGAGCATTAGACTCAGCAGCTAGAAAAAGAACAACAAAAGAAACCAATGGATTAGAAAGTTGAACACAACTAGAATTGTTGAGTAAACCCAAGAGCTAGTTCTCTGGGGGGGAAAGAAAAGGATTAAGGGATGTCTGACAAATCTGACAAAACAGAAAACTGTTTGAGAACACATACATGACACTAGCAATGAAAACATAAATCTAACTACAGAAAGGAAAGAGACTATTTTTAATAAAATACTGTTTTTATCTTTATGGCAACAATATAAAGCCAAAAAAACTATTTTCTAAGTTACTACTGCAAAAAAAAAAAAAAAAAAAAACACACTGAAATTGAAATGATTAGTGAAATCAACTTTCCTCAAAACTTCCAGATGCTGAATTTATTTAGAGTCATATAACACTTTCAAGAACTCATTTCACAAGGCTAGTGTAAGCCTGACAGCAAAAACTGAGCAAGATAGTGAAAAAAGAACCAAAAGTCAAATTCATTTATGAATACATATTATGCAAACACCCTAAATATAATATTTACAAATAGAATCAACAACACATTAAAAAAACAGTATAACACCTTTAACTAGGATTTGTTTTAGGAATTCAAGGATAGGTAGGTAGAAAAAAAATATACCATATAATTCACTAGATTAATAGTTTAAAATGGTCATTTTGATAAATGCAGAAAATGCAGTTGATAAAATTCTAAATCCATCCTGGGTTAAACTTACAGGTAAACTAGGAATAGGAGGAAACTTTAATATGATACACATCTTTTTTTTTTTTTTTTTTTTTGGAGACAGAGTCTCACTTTGTTGTGTGGAGTACAGTGGCACCATCTCAGCTCACTGCAACCTCCAAATCCTGGGTTCAAAGCGATTCTCCTGCCTCAGCCTCCCAAGTAGCTGAGACTACAGGTATGCCCCACCATGCCTGGCTAATTTTTTGTATTTTTAGTAGAAACAGGATTTCACCATGTTGGCCAGGCTGGTCTCAAACTCCTGAACTCAGGTGACATACCCGGCTTTGGCCTCCAAAAGTGCTAGGATTACAGGCATGAGCCACCGTGCCCAGCCAGTAACGGTCTCTTTAAAAAGTCACTATTACTTAAGGAAAAAAAACAAGGTGCTGTTCTTTACTAAAAAAAAAAAAATAAAGAGACCTAAACACCAAAAGCAATGGGTGAACCTTTATTGAAACTTTGGTTTTAAAAATAAATAAATAAAAGCAGCAATAAAATATATTTTGGGGAGAAAGTATGTACCATAAAGAGCAGTGAAAAGGTTAGTATCTCTATCTCAAGAAGAGTTCTTGTAAGTCAGTATTATTTATTTATTCATTCATTTATTTTGAGACAGAGTCTCACTCTGTCACCCAGGCTGGAATGCAGTGGCATGATCATTATTCACTCAGCCTTGACCTCCCCAGACTCAGGTGATCCTCCCACCTCAGCCTTCTGAGTAGCTGGGACTACAGAAACACCACCACATCCAGCTAATTTGTATGTTTTTTGCAGAGACAGGGTTTCGCCATGTTGCCCAGGTCTCGAACTCCCAGGGTTAAGCAGTCTTTCTGCCTCAGCCACCCAAAATGTTAGGATTACAGGCGTGGGCCACCACGCCCAGCCATCAATCCATATCTTAAGAAGACAAGTAATCTCCTCTTGACCCCCAAATAAGTAAAGAACCATGAACAGGACAATTTCAAAAAAAGAAATGCAAATTGCCACAAAAAAATATTTAAAATATTTGGCCTGATTAATAGCCAAAGAAATTTAAATTAAAATAACAATCAAATACCATTTTTCAGTTTCAAATTAGCAAAAATTAAACAGAACAATGATACTGAAATTTGGTGAAGGTGTAAAAATACTCTACTGGTGAAGTACAAACTAGTTCAACTTTTTGGAGGTCATGAATTAGGTAATATACAACAAAATTTTTTAATTGAACATAAGTATTCCTTTTGATCTAGCTGTTAAACTTCTAGAATCTGTCTAAAGGAAATAAGCAAGTAGGTAAAAATGACTATATATGATTTCTTATTACAATATTGCTTAGAAATTTTTTAATTAAATCTAAATGACCAATTAAATAAGTTGTGCCAGAGCCATATAACCACATATTCTTAAGCACTTGGAAAGAACAAATACGTAACTCTATGTATTTGCATAGAAAGAGGTCTGAAAAATATTTTAAATTAAAACAGCTTATAGAAGAGTAGGTATGATTTTATCTAAAAAAAAAAAAGATGCGTATGTGCTAATACATGTGTTTATAGATGCATAGAAAACCTGCTGGAAAAGTATACAACAAATGATAACAGTGGTTATACTTGTGGGGTGGAATTCAGAGGACTTTCTACTGTATGTGTAAAATTTTAGTGTTTGATAGTCAGCATATATTATGTTTACAACCAGAAAAATAATACTAGTACATTGCAGAGAGAAAGAAAGAGGGATCCTATGTTCTCCTTAATGAAGACAAAGTTCTTGCTCCATCTTAATGGGCTCCTCAAGAGACACCCAGGCAAAGCCAGTGGGCTTGGGGCAAAAACTCAACCAGCACTGTGAAAATCAACCTTGCAGGGTAAAGCTCCACACAACTGAGACTTGAGTCACATCGGAGAATGGGCCTCTTTAAGTCATCCTTACTGCTACTGAAATAACTACTCCACATCTGGGAACGAGAGTACATTTCCCCAAGGAAGCCCCTGTTTCCAAATCTCCACCCTGGTTTATCATCAGCTGAGACTCTTGGCCCCTCTTGGACCATCTGCTCAGCAGACCTCTGATCTAGTTAACAGCTTCATTATTTTTAAACTGTCTCTAAGCACAGATTCAGAAGCAAGGGCAGCAAGAATATCTCCTAAGACTCTGAAATAAATCAGTCCCTGTAATCTGCTTCCCGTGGCCCTCTGTGACCATGAGCATGACAGGGGGTTTCATAATCATCATAATATCTTTGCCCTGAGCATCAGCACATAAAAGCAGGTGCTTAGCATGGGGCATCTGCCAAGTCAATCCAAGCCGGAGGCTAAGGGAGGGCTTTGCCAAAATGATTCTGAGTGGCACGGAGATGAGTCTGGGGCTTCAACACCTGAGGGTGAGTCAAGAAACAGGTTCAAGATGCTGGGTTAGCAAGGAAAGACAGACTCTGGGTAATCACGTTCATGACTTGAATATCATGTGTGAGTAATTAATAATCTATAAATGTCCTGAATTAGTGCACATATTGAGTTAGTTCATCATTTAAAAAGGTGGCAATGTTAATGCAGTTCCTCTGTAGGGTTCATTAAGTGGACAGGGTGTCAAGTCAGAGTGAATTTATTTTTTCATTTCTTCCATTTACTTTTTATTTGGTTCCCTTCCATTGTTCATAAATAGAAGTGGTAATTATGGGGGATGGAGGGGCAGTGTGTCTCAATTATTATTGCTGGATATTGTAAGGAAAGGTAGGAATTACCTGTAATCATCTTGCCAAGTCTGCAAGAAAACTAAGTGAAAGTAAACAATTAGCTGGGAGATCTTAGATTTTAAGGTACTTTGAAAAGCCTAAGTTCTAATTATTAGAAAGCTGTTGTTTTTTCATCTTGCTCTGTGTATATCTGACTCAAAGTGATCTTTAGGCTAGAGAAATCACTGTGCAGGACAATTCAAAAGACATTAAACTCCCATCTTGCCATAGAGGACTGCAAGTGTCTGTAGAAAAATTTTCTATACCTAAGCCTCACCTCAGAATACCACATGCTGCCCCAGCATCTCTGAGGATGAGCAGTCAGAAGAACCAGGGAAATGAGGCTGGGTTCTTAGAAAAATGGAAACTTAGAGAGATGAATAGATGGAAAGATGAATGGGAGAACAGATGGGTGAATGACTTGGCAAGTAGAAAAACACAGACAAATGGATGGATAGGTAGGCAGGTGGGTCTCTCCCTCGCTCTCTCCATGCCTGTCCATCCAAGCAAAGACCAGGGAATGTCTCCTACCTCAGAGAAGGAGGTAGCCATACTGCTTCCTGGGACCAGTTCTTCTCTGGCCATCTTGATCACACTCCTTCTGCCCCCTCCCAAATCTTATTCCTCATCTATCCCCTGTCTTGATTAATCTCTCTCTCCACTGAATATTCAGCTTACAAACATGTTCAGTTTTCCTGTATGCTGATAGATATAGATATACATATTGATACAGATATAGATATAGATATTCCCCCAACCAGCTTCTCATCAAGCTAAATTCAATTTCATTCCTTCACAGGCTTCTTCTGGACAGAGTTCTCCACATCCTACCATCTATGCTCAGTCACCTCCACCCACTGCAACTTGGGGCCCACCCTCCACTCTATGTTCCTCAAAGGTCCCCAGCCCCCTTTCCCATCCTAAATCCCATGGTTCCCTCTCCCTGTTAAATCTGGACCACATTATTTGCCTTGAAACTTTACTCCTCTGTTTCTTTTTTTCCATATCTCCAGCAATCTTTCCGGATTCATTATTTAATGTATTCAATAAATATTTATTGAGAACTTATTTTGTTCCAGGCACTGAGGTAGAGATGTAGGGAATACAAAATGACCAATTCCTAGACCTTACCCTCAAGAGCCTAGAAAGAGAGCTAGCTATGTATGCAGGTGAGTTACAATTACACAGGATCAATGTAAACATTCATTCATTGATTCAAAAGAATTGTTGAGCACCTACAAGGTGCCAAGTACAGTTCTAAGAATTAGGGATACAACAGTGAACAAAACTGATAAAGATTCTTCCTTTATTAAATATATACTAATGAAGGAGAAAAACATTATATGAATAAAATATAGAGTAGGTCAAAATATAATGTGTTATGGAGAAAACTAAAGATGAAGGGAGAATAGGGAGAGCCCTGGGGGAGGGAGGGTTTGCAGTTTGCAATGGATTGGTCACAGAAAAACTTACTAAGACAGAGATATTTGCACAAAGACTTGGCCAGGCATGGGGGCTTATACCTGTAATCCCAGCACTTTGGGAGGCCAAGGCGGGCAGATCACCTGAGGCCAGGAGTTCAAGATCAGCCTGGCCAAAATGGCAAAACCCTGTCTCTACTAAAAATACCAAAAAAATTAGCTGAGATGGTGGGCACCTGTATTCCCAGCTACTCAGGAGGCTGAGGCAGGGAGAATTGCTTGAACCCAGGAGGTGGAGGTTGCAGTGAGCCAAGATCCCACCGCTGCATTCCAGCTTGGGCAACAGAGCAAGACTCTGTCTCACAAAAAAAAAAAAAAAAAAAAAAGATTTGAACGAGCTAAGGGAGTGAGTCTTGTACATATCTGGGGGAAAGAATTAAAATAGAGGAAACAGTAACTGGGAAGGCCCTGAGGCAGGGGGGTGTCCAGTGTCCTGGGACAGTGAGGAGGGTGAGAGTGGTGAAAGGCGAGATCAGAAATGTAGGTGAGGGGAAAAGCAGAGTATAGGGCCTGTAGTCCCTCAGAGGACTGGGAGTTCTGCTCTAAATGAGACAGGAAAACACTAGAGAGTTGGAACAAAGGAATAACACGATCTAAACTATATGCTGAAAAGATCCCTCTTTGGCATGTAAAACAGACTCCCAGAACACAGGCAGAAGCAAGGAAACCCCCTCACAGAAGACCACCAGAGTCATGCAGGATAGAGTTGGGGGTGGCTTAGAGTAGGGGAAGTGGTGGCAGGATACAAAATGGTTGGATTTAGGGTATAAAACTAACAGCTTTAGTGCTGGATTTCAAGTGAGAGTTCCCCGGAGGTAGGAGTACCCAAAGACCCACAAAAGTGCCCCCACAAGACAGTCAGCTTCAAATGCCTGCCAGCCCAGTTTCAGCAGCCCGCTGACAACAGCACGAGTCCACTAAGGCCTATCCTGGCTCAACTCCCCTCTCGACAGCCCCTCCCACCTTCTCTCTGGGAGATGATCCAAAATGATTGCCTCATTCTGAAGATGAGGGAGGAGGATGAAGTACGTTGGAGAAAAAGAGAAGAGGGCAATCAGGCCTCTTTTGCCAAATGCCAACGGTCAACCTTCAGTTGGCCCAAGCTGGGGGAGGAGAAGAAGCATTAACCTTGAATGAAATTACTGATAGTTTTGTTACACTAGCCTGGACATGCTAATGGAGGACCCACTGTTAACTAAAAGTGATCAGAGGCATACAATGATTTGCCCCAAATTTTATCTTTCATTTAGGGACAGGAAAAACTAGTTCCATGGAATAAATGTCAAGGGACAGAAGACAAAAATACAGTTTTTATTATGATAAAGTCAAGCTAGCTCAATGAAACATTTACTTTGGGAAATCAAGACCAAAATGGTCAACAAAAGCTCTTATGGAAAGGCTGGTTTAAAAAAAAAAAAAAAAAAAAGCAACTTTATATCTAATTGATGATATATATCACCAACCCTAAGCAGAGCTTTCAGGAGCCCTTCTTTTAGGGTTAAATCTTCAGTCAAAGACACAGTCCACAGGAAAAGCCTCTCTCTATGAATCAAAACTGCTAGAATCTGGCAGGAAAACAAAGGGTTTTGTTGTTTTTGTTGTGGTTGCTTCGGGTGCAGTGCTGTTGTTCAGTAGAAGGCCTTAGGTTTTAGGAAGCAGAAATCCTGGGCTGAATTCATGATTTGAATAGATACTCCCAGAGTAAAGATCATCCTTCATTTGACATTTCTTCACTCAGTTGTTTTTTCCATATTGTTCACATAGAGCCTTGCCATTTGATTTATTCTTACCATAATGCACTTGTACATTTGCTGTTTTGATTATTATCTCATACTTAAAGCTGAGTTGGCACTTTCTTCCAGGGCCCTCATTTCCAGTGGCTTATAAATTTTATGAACAAATTACTTTTTATTTATCAAGTCCTTCCTCTGCCCAGCAGTGAATTTTTTGGAAGGTTGGCAGGGAAGGCACAAATACTATTTTTTAAATGAAACATCCTAATGAAGAAGGCTGTGGTATTTGAGGGAGAATAAGCCAAGATAATCCTTTCTTTTAAATTATTGCATTACTCTAAAGTAAAGAAATAAATATAATTTAGGAAACATAATATAAAGCAAATACATGTGCTAGTCCTCCAAAAACAGAATGAATTCCTTGGAGGAGGTACTGTGCCAGAATCTCATTTGTTCTGGTATATAGCTTCTATGTTGGAATGTTTCCAAAACAGTTATAATTCCATAACCCCATCAAGTTATGCAAAAAAAGTTGATAAGTTTATTATGATTTCAAGAATGACATTTGACTTACATAGGAGCGAGAGCTGTCAAACTCTGGATTGACAGCATCCTCCATCAACAGCAATGTAAAAAGATATTAAAGTCACCACAAGGGGGATAGGGTTGGTGCACATGAATAAACTCCACAGAAGAATGGATTCAACATTTACCTAGGCTATAAAACAAGCATTATTATCCCCACTTTGCAGAGAAAGATATTGAAAATTCAGAGAGGCTGAATACCTTGCCCAAGTTCACATAGTGTTACAGCCTGGATCTAAATCTATCTCTCCAAAATATCGCATTTTAATTTTAGATAATATTTTTGAATCTTCTAATCCTTCCCACCAAAATGCATCCATCCTTCTAAAAATCAGAAAAGTGGCCAATTTTGGGAGGTGCAATAAATGCTAAAAAGGCTGAAAGTCAAAAGTGTAGGTGGTGGCCGGGCGCGGTGGCTCACGCCTATAATCCCAGCACTTTGGGAGGCCGAGGCGGGTGGATCACGAGGTCAAGAGATCAAGACCATCCTGGTCAACATGGTGAAACCCTGTCTCTACTAAAAATACAAAAATTAGCTGGGCACGGTGGCTCGCGCCTGTAGCCCCAGCTACTCAGGAGGCTGAGGCAGGAGAATTGCTTGAACCCAGGAGGTGGAGGTTGCAGTGAGCTGAGATTGTTCCACTGCACTCCAGTGTGGGTAACAAGAGCGAAACTCCATCTCAAAAAAAAAAAAAAGTGCAGGTGGTTTGATTTCTGGATGATGGTTTTGGGGGTGAAAAGCACAGCAGAGCCCAAGAGTCAGGAAATTCTGGTCCTCCTCTATTCCCCCTCTCCACTCTACTGGTCATCTCAGCTACTCTCCCAACATCTGAGAGTCCAGCCTGTGAAGAAATACTTCCATTCGTTAAAAAAGGAAACTGAGAAACATCAATTGCCCAGGTTTACACAGCAAATGCTATTCTGACTTCTTAACAACTAGATAATGGTAAACTTGAATTAACTCATATCCAGAATTCTAGACCTCATAATTATCTGGTACTAAGGAAATTTGGTAGAAGAAAGAATGTCCAATTATGTCTGTAGTCACAAAAAAAAGCAGTACCATCTTTAATAGGATATATTCTGAAATTCTACCAGATAACCAAAAGAAAAAAAAATCCCATAAAGCTAAAACAAGTAGCCCTAGGCACTAAAATAAGAAAATATTTTTAACAGTACCTAAGAAGCCAAACTTCAATTATAAGAATATTGAAGATTTTTATTGAGGATAAGAAAACATCCTAGGAGATTTCAGCTTTTACTCAGTATCACTTCTGCAAAAAGGCAACTACATTATGCTGTTAGCAATTGCACAGCCTGCACTCCACTTCCTTGAGGAAGAAATGAGAAATTGGGCTCATATAAAAACATATGCAAGAAAGTAAGTGTCAAGATTTGTCTGGAAATATTACATATTTAACCTAAAATGGGAGTCTAATGTTCACCTTAGCTTCCCAATAGGAACCTCTTTCTTTTTTTTTCTTCAACTTTTAAGTTCTGTGGTACATGCACAAGATGTGCAGGTTACATAGGTAAACGTGTGCCATGGTGGTTTGCTGTACAGATCAACCCATCACCTGGGTATTAAGTCCATCATTCATTAGCTCTTCTCACTGATGCTCTTCCTTCCCCCACCCCCCCACAAAAGGCACCAGTGTGTGTTGTCCCCCTTCGACCCCATGTTCATGTCCTCTCATCATTCAGCTCCCACTTATAAGTGAGAACATGCAGTGTTTGGTTTTCTGTTCCTGCATTAATTTGCTGAGGATAACAGCTTCCAGCTCCATCCATGTTCCTGTGAAAGACATGATCTTGTTTATTTATGGCTGCATAGTATTCCATGGTGTATATGTACCACATTTTCTTTATCCAATCTATCACTGATGAGCATTTGGGTTGATTCCATGTATCTTCATAATAGAATGATCTATATTCCTTTGGGTATCTATTCAGTAATGGTATTGCCGGGTCAAATGGTATTTCTGCCTCTAGGTCTTTGAGGAATTCCCACAAGGTCTTCCATAATGGCTGAACTAATTTACATTCCCACCAACAGCATAAAAGCATTCTTTTGTCTCCATAACCTTACCAGCATCTGCTGTTTCTTGACTTTTTAATGATCACCATTTTGACTGGCATGAGGTGGTATCTCACTGTGGTTTTGTTTTGCATTTCTCTAATCATCAGTGATGTTGAGATTTTCTTCATGTTTCTTGGCTGCATAAATGTCTTCTTTTGAGAAGTGTCTGAGGAACCCCTTTCTTTGGGGAATTCCATACTGTTTGAGTTTTGATGTGGAGAGAATATGGATAGTCTTCCCCTAGAGGACCTGAAAATGTTAGACAGTCCCTTGCCACGTGGGCACATTCATGAAACAAAGTTTCTGCTGATCAGAGAACGGCACCAGACTTGGTGCAGAAAATTCTCTCACACTAAGCAATTTCAATCTTCCTTTTTTCTTTCTTTTTTTCTTCCTCTCTGTGTCTTCCTCCCTCTCTGATGCTAGTGGCAGCAGCAGTAGCTGCAAGGCAAAGCTCCTGGCACAGAAGCCACACTTAAAACTGTACATACACCTGATAATAGGTGAGTATCAAAAATTAGGAACTCAAACAACCCAATAGCTAGGAAACAAACAACCTGATTACAAAATGGACAAGGAAGCTGAATAGACATTTCTCAAAAGAAGACATACAAATGACTAGCAGGTATATTTTTAAATGTTCAACATCACTAATGATAAAAGCAAAACTTCAGCTGAATTAAACTCAAAGAAGTTTAATTGAGCAACAAACAAGTCATGAATTGGGCAGCCTACCCTGCCAGAGTGGACCCAGAGACTCCAGCACCCAGCCATATGGTGGGAGATTTATGGACAGAAAAAGGAAAGTGAGGTACAGAAACAGCTGGATTGATTACAGTTCAACATTTGCCTTATTTGAACACAGTTCGAATAGTTGGCTACACTTGATTGACCAAAACTCAGTGATTGGCACAAGTGTAGGTTACAGTGTGGTTACACCTCCACTTGTTATAGTTCACAATGTACAGAATACCCTTTAGGCTGAACTTAAAATATGTAAGGAGGCAGCTCTAGGCTAAACTTGATTTAACACTCATCATCAGAGAAGTGCAAATTAAAACTACAAGAAGATATTCCCTCACACCTGTTAGATTGGCTATTATCACAAAGATGGAAAATAAGTGTTGGCAAGCACATAGAAAAAAGAGCACCCTCGTACACTCTTGATGGGAATGTAAATTAGTATAGCCATTATAAAAAATATGGAGGTTCCTCAAAAAATTAAAATAGAGCCACCATATGATCCAGCAACCCCACTTCTGAGTATAGATCCAAAGGAAATGAAATCAGTGTGTCGAAGAGATATCTGTACTTGCATATTCATTGCAGCATTATTCACAGCAGCCAAAATATAGAATCAACGTGAATGTCCATTGACAGATGAATGGATAAAGAAAATGTGGCATATATATGCAATGGAATATAATTCAGCCTTAAAAAGGAAGAAAATTCTGTCATTTGCAACAACATGGATAAACCTGAAGTACCTTATGCTAAGTAAAACAAGCCAGGCACAGAAAGACGAATACTGCATGATCTCACTCATATGTGGAATCTAAAAATCTGAACCACAGAAGCAGAAAGTAGAACAGCAGTTGCCAGGGACTGGGGGTGGGACAGGGAGGAAAAGGAGAGATGTTGATCCAAAGATACAAAGTTTCAGCCAGAAAGGATGAAGAAGTTCTGGAGGCCTATTGTACAACATGACAATTACAGTTAATAATAATGTGTTGCATGCTTGAAAATTACTGAGAAAATAGATCTTATATGTTCTCACCACAAAAACACATGTATGTAATGTGACAGATATATTAGCTTGATTTAATAATTTCACTGTGTATCCATAGAGCAAAACATCACATTGTATACACCATAAATACATATTTTATTTGTCAATTAGATATTAATATAGCTGAGAAAGGATTTAAAATTTTAAAAAGATGAAACTGCACTACCCAGTACTCAGTGGCTGCTGTGGTGGTACTTCTTTTATAGGACCAGGCCCATGGCTGGTAGTTAGACATTTTTTCCCGAAGTTCAGCCTCAAGACTGGGTGTCTCCAGTCCTCCATATATTTCTGTGAGCACCCTCCATTCTTAATAAACCAAAGTCCATTTCTGCTGTCTGCAACTAAGAATTCTGACAGAATCAAAACCCAGCTCTGACGGCACTTGCCTGTACAATCCACCAACATTCTTTTTTAATGGATGACCTACATCATGAAAGAAAGGTTCAATTATATTTTCTACATTCTGATTACTAGGATATAGAGTGTGGACTATAATTTTGGAAATTTCCATTTAAAAAAGAAAGTTAGAATAAATTGTTTTGCTAACTAAATGAAATCATCCAAAACAACAATGCTATTGTCTGAATATCTGTGTGCCCGCAAAATTCATATGTTGACATCTAATCACCAATGTGATGGTATTAGGAAGTGTGGCCTTTGGGAAGTGATTAGGTCATAAGGGTAGAGCCATCATAAATTTAGAATTAGTGCCCTTATAAGAGACCCCAGAAAGCCAGCTCAGCCTTCTCCCCATGTGAGCATGCAATGAAAATCCACCATCTATGAACCAGAAAAATGGGCCCTTAGCAGACACCAAATCTGCCATCCCCTTGATCTGGTACTTCCCAGCCTCCAGAACTACGAGAAATAAGTTTCTATTGTTTATAAGCCACCCAGCCTATGGCATTTTTATTACAGCAGCCTGAAGACAATCACCCAAACACTTTATGCCCAACCATACTAGGCTCCTGTGGTGTTACTGTGATATGACGTATGACACAATGCATAACACATTCCACACTAAAGAAATGCTTAGGAATACCCAGAAAGCATGTATAAGGCATGTGTTTTGTGTTTGTATCTGGGATGGAGGCAAGGGGTGTAAGAAGCAGAAGCAAGGAAATGGTCATAAACATCACCACTGTTGATTTAAGTTGGTTTGAACAATTTTTAATAATTCCAGATTTACAATGTGACACTACATTATAAGTTGGAATTACTAATAACTAATTTGAAGGGCAAGGTAGGACGGAAGTTGAGGGAAAGATTATGTCATTATTGTCTCTTTTTACAATTCATACTCTGGTTTTTAAACAGAGATAAAGAAAAACGTCTACTAACAGTAAATTATGTAAGAGTCTAACTGGACCATCAACCTTAACTTGATTATATGAAAAACAACTGTTTGAAACAAAGGGGAAGAAATTGAATCAAAGGGTATTAAAAAAAAACATGTAGTATGAATGTACATGTATATAGCATACATTAGGTTAGTGTAAAAGTAGTTACAGTTTTTCCATTAAAAGTCATGGCAAAAACCACAATTACTTTTGTACCAATCTAACATAAATTACTTTTAATGGCAAAACTGCAACTACTTTTGCACCAACCTATTATAAATACATTTAAGATATTTTTCATTTCACCACATTCAATTCTACTAGGCAGAGGGCTAAAACAAGCAAACAAAGCCTTGCTGTCCCTTCAACTAGCAGGAGTCTATGATGTAATCTAGAACATATAAACTGTTATATTAGTAAAGAAAAGGTCATATCTCAAAGGAGCTCGATCAGCTTGAAACAAAAGAAAGGGGAAGAAATTGAATCAAAAGAAAATGAAGGAAACTCAGGAGAAAAGGTAAACTTCCTTAAGACAGAACACAAGGCAGATCATCATGGATGGTTGTTAAGACTGTTTTGACTGAATTCACTAATTAAATTGATCAAACAGTTCAATGTCGTCTTTAAAAAAAGATTTAATGCTTTTGATGAAACCGAATAGATATTAATTACATAGACAGACAAAATAGTCCACGCAGGTGTGTGTTGATACAGCAAGAGGTCTTAAAAGATTTTAAGAGTAGGACAAAACCAAATGCATTTATGCTGAAAAAACAATGCTGAGAAACAGAAAGACGGCAAGCGACAGAGCAACTGCTCCTCTAAGGCTGTAAATTATATTGGGTAAATGAAGGCTTCTGATTAGCTTCTAGCTGTGCTTCTAATAAGGGAAAATTCTTCAGATTACCTATGATTACAGCAATTTTCAAAGCATTAGAATGTACAAGAGACAAGTGAATGATGGATTTGAGGGGGTGAATAAAGAAAAAGAGTTTATAATATATTTTGAATAAAAAATGAAGGTGGAAACCAGCCATGGATAATGTCATGAAATAAAAAATGGGGTGGCAGAAGGGGTACCCTGCAGCCCAAAAAGGAAACACTTCCAGTAGCAAGAAATAGACTAACTCATAAAGAAAAGCCTTCCCCCACTCTTTTCCAGCTATGTTTCAGAACAAACACTTTAAGATAGTTAATTTGATTTTTTTTAATGCAACATGTCACACAGAGATATTTTCTGATGGCAAATGTCTAATTATATGAGATCGAGAGATCACGGTGAGACTGATACTGCTTTTGCCTACCTTTCTTTTCCTGTGTCCTTAACAGGTTGTAAGATCCCCTACATAGATCCACACAAAATTTACCAGTCTGCAGTTAGTCAATACATATGTATTGAGCACCTGCTATGTGGCAGGCATTCTTCTAGGTGCTAGGATTTCAGCAGTAAACAAAACAAAAATCCCTGTTCTTATGGAGTGAATATTCTAGTTGAGAGGGGAGAAAGACAGGCAAATAAATAAATAATACACACAGGAAGTCAGATTGTCACGAATGCTCTGGAGAATGATAGAGCAAGGTCAAGAGAACCAGAATGGTTGGAGCGAAAAGCTGCCTGATAGTCATACACATGAATAGGAATGAGTGACTAGGGCCTGAAAGAAGACCTGGGGTCCTGGACTTTTGTTGTTCTTTTTTAATAGCATTAAAATACATATAACATAAAATTTACCATCTTAATCATTTTTAAACTTACAGCTCAGTACTGTTAAGTACATTCACATTGCTGTACAACCAATCTTCAGAACTTGCAAAACTTCAGTCTTCAGATCTTGTAAAACTGAAACCCCATACCCATTAATAAACTCCCCATTTCCCACTCACCAACACCCCAGCCCCTGGTTACCACCATTTGACTGCACTAGGTGCCTCACAGAAGAGAAATCAGACAGAATCTGTTCGGTTCTGGGCTTCTTGTAGTGATCACTGGAAACTGCAATACACTGCCTGCAGAGATCAGTCCTGAGATGAAAAGAAGTGAGACTAATCCCAGCTCTTTGGGAGGCCAAAGCAGGAGGATGGCTTGAGCCCAGGAGTTTGAAAGCAGCCTGGACAACATAGTGAGACCTTGCCTCTACAAAAACACTTAAAAATTAGTGGGGCCTGGTACAGTGTGTCTATCATCCCAGGTAATCATGAGGCAGAAGCAGGAGGGTTGCTTGGGCCCGAGGTCGATGCTACAGTGAGCTGTGATCATGACACTGCACTCCAGCCTGGGTTACAGAACAAGACTCTGTCCCAAAAACAAAACAAAACCCTAGTGAGGCTCTGCAGGTTAGAATTGACGAGGGACTTTTCCAGGTGCATGCAGAGTTCTAGGACCTTTCTACATTCCTGCCCACCTGGCAGACTCCCAGCTCTCAGGCTCTTCCTTGGCCCCTGCAGAACAAAATGTGAAAAGCCAAGCATCTTCTTACCTGAAGCAGATGAAACTCTTGGCCTCCCTCTTGACTGCCCAGATATCCAGCTATTGCAGGGCAGGCAAAACACTCCCATAGTGCCTAGCACATGAAGTGCATCCTCCAGAAGGCTTAGGTTACTGAGAGTACTCTGACCTTCCTTCCAAAAGGAAGCCCAGTTTTGTTACAAGGGAATCACTCTGCTCAACTGCCAAGGGGCAGGTCTCCTTATATCTGCTCCTCAGAAGACCCAGCATGCCCCTGCCACGAAGATCACAGGTCACTGCACTGAGGCCACATGCTCCCACTCCAGGATCCTGCTGCCTGGGCTCAGCTCTGCTCCTTCTCACATTTGGGCCGCAGTCATTGCAGCATAGGCCCCTCGGTGACTCAGAGCAGGGCAGGCCTTTCACTCACCCCAACCCCAACACACACACACCTCTCTTAGCATTCTCACTCACTCAGGAGTGTGGTCAGACACTCCCCTGGCCTCCTGAGCCATGCGCCGGCACACCATCAGTGACACTGGAGCCACCAATGTTAATAAGTTTCTTACTGGTGGAAGACAAGGGTAGATGGATCAATTTCAGATAAGTTGCCTTCATTCATCACCCACTTTTGGTTTGCTTTTGTATCTT